TTTACTTTTGTACGTGTGCAATTTTATATTTCTCTACAGTTTATTTTCTGGAGAGGTAAAATGTGCACCAGTTAAGGTATGATTCGTGGCTAGGCATTCCCACTGTTTAAGAAGATGCCCCCCCCCCCGGTGATTTCATTCAGTCCAACAGTTTGGGCTGGGCCATTATGATTCCCAAACAGGATCCAGTCAGCAGATGGAATTATTGCTTTGAATCTGGGGAGCAGAAGCTGCCTGGGTGAGGGAACAAAGAGTGAGATTTGGCCAGGGGTGTGGTTGTAGCCTGTTCTGCTGTCCATCGGCCTCTCCTTCTGGCTCTCTGCAACCAGCTGGGCCAAGGGCTGTTGCACTTTTGCCCTCTCTGGTCCACCTTGGAGGCATCTTTGGGGGATCAGAAATAATTGCTGCAACACACACACCCCGGAAGGGTTGCGAAGGAACATTATTTATTTATTCTAAGTAGCCTTATGCTTGCAAATGCTGGCAGCGCTAAAAGAAAGAGTTGTTAGTTATGAGTTTGGACAAAATGGAAGGGGGGGGGCATTACCTTTTTAAATAAATATGTATACAAATCCACCAAAGTAAAGTGAAGCAGCAGAAGGGCAGAATGCCAGAAGAAATAGCAGGGTGAAACACGGCAGATGCAGAAGCAAGGCAGAGATGGCACTGAGAGCATTGGCAAAAGGGAAGCTCTGGAAACCTCCTCACCCTGTTTCCTGCCCCAGATGCCCAGGGCTGAGTCCAGAGGGGAGGGGGCTTTGCACAAGCGGCCCTCTCCCTAGAGCAGCTTCAGATTGCAGGGCCACAAGCGGGAGGAGAGGAAGACAGGCCTGGCTGGAACATTGCACTGGAAAGATCTCCTCGCAGGAGGCTTTGCAGCCGTGGTGCCACTTAGCACCAACTGGGACTGGGAGTTCAGCCCCTCTGCTTTCTGTGGGATCCTTTATCCACTGCCCCCTCTGCCCCCCAGCATCTTCCCTGCTCTGGCTGGTTCTTCCTGTGGGGGAGGAGGCATTCTGGACCGTTTGCCAGTGACATGAGGGCCGCTGGTGGCCCTTTCAGAGGCAGGCGGTGCCACACGGGAGGTCTTAGATCAGGAGTGTAAAGAAATGTGCAGTAGGAAAAGGGCTTCTTGGATTTGCTAATAACACCCTTTGGAATCTGCAAATTCATGCTTCCTAAATAGGCAAGCTATGCGTTTTTTTTCTGCACAGAAAAACACTTCATCTAAAGTTGTTATAGAATTCTTTCCCTTTTCATATTTTTCCTCTAGGCTGAGTGAGATATGCTGAAGATGTTATAAAAATATAAATAGTTACTTCATTTAACAGAGGGAATCTATTTAATATCACCTTTTTTGAATCCACATTTTAAAATTCCCATGAAATGCATATAAATGGACCAACAGATTTAGCATGTTAAATTGACTGGGCATTTTGTTTTGTCATGCTCCATATATATGTTAGACACATTGCAACATGTGAGCGCATGGCTTCCCTGATGAGGCAGGAAGAGTCTGTTGGGCCAAGCTGTGTCCAGGGTGAGGTGCTGGAGGCGGCAGCAGCTGAGACGTGGCTGGGTGGCTGCTTCTTGCGTCTGGAGTTACTCTCCCAACTCTGCATTTCTTCCTCCTTCCCTTCATCCCTGAAAATCTTGCAAACCTTTAGACTCCACTTTCACTGGCTAGGAGAGGTTAGGTAGGCCTGGTTATCCTTCCCACCACTCCTTAACTTAGTAGGTGCTATTATTTGGGCATATATGCAATTGCTTGAATTGTAGGTTTTTGCTTGTTTTGTTGAGGTTTTAATTATTTGTTTATTGGATTGGCTATTATGTTGTAAACTAATTTTATTGTATAGAATTTAATTGCTTTTTTCCCTGAAGAGTCTTGGTAAATATGCATCATCATCATCATCAAATTGGGAATTTGGGATCAATGCAATTTAATTCTTATAAAGTCATCAGGAGTTGGTGGCTGATCAGAGGATTAAGCTTGCTGGAGATGTGCAGCAAGGCCTGAACAGGCACCTTCCCTGCGACTATTGCTGTTTCCAAGCGGTGCCAAGTCATCAGCTAACCTAGAGGGAGAAGGAAGCAAGCCAAAGGCACGGCTCCCATCAAGGGAGGCAGTGACTCTACAACGGGGTCCCTGGGAAGCCTTCCCCCTAAGCTTCCTTCACTGGTGGGGGCTTTGCGTCCCATGCCAGCCTCGGCCCTTCGGACGGGCTTTTCCGTTCCAGCTTGCAGCCCATAGCAGCTTCCCCTATTTATATCTCACTGTTATTAATTCACAGCTTATAATTTAATCTGTGCTCAACATTTAAGACACTATTGAAATGTTGTTTTCCGATGGGCAGGCCAGATTCTCTCGGGCTGAACCTTGGATGGGAAAAAGAGGGCAGCGCCCTGGCAACCGGAGAAGCCCCTCGGGCAAATGAGGCAGCTCCTGCTAAGGAGCTTAGAGGAGCCTCCCCGGCAGCAGTTGGGGGTCTTTTTATTGAAAAAGATCCTGCCTGGCAGAGTCCTCTGCAGATGTAACTACTTTGCATGAGCAGCAGCATCTGTCTTGGCAAGGGCCACCCCAGCAATTGGGCAGCTTTCAGAATTGGCAATGCTGGTTTTGAAATCAGCTGGTCAAGTGCCCCAAGTAATGACCTGCCCCTCAAGGGCTAGGGACGTTTTTGTAAATCAGACCTCCCCCAGGTGCTTTTTACACATAGAAGGGTTATAAAGAAGTCAGGAGGGTGGTTGCACCATCCGTAGTAGCCTATTTAATCTGTGAATAATTGCTTTAATTATTTCCGATCAATATCTCCATTCCATAGCTAAATTTATTTCCTCAGTGGCCAGACACCTTACATTATCCGATGGATGGTCCCCTAGTCAGCCAGGATGGTCCCTCCTGCTTCCTGAACAGAGTTTAGGTTAATACGAACACAGCTTCTCTCAGGAAGTGGACTTGCTAGCTTACTGGAAAGAGAAGGGCAGCCCTGCTCCCCCTGGCTTTTCCCCAGAAAGCCCGTGGCCTCCTTACTGGGGGGCAGGAGGCTCGCCTGAACCTCCTTCTCAAAGGGGCGGGAATAAGAAGAGCCCAAGGCTGTCTGGAAACAGGGGAAGGGCAGAGAAAAGAGGAGGACTGGGGGGGGGGTCTCCACACACGTTGGGGGTGAACATTCTGTTTTGCTGTCCTGGGTGCAAATGCAAACAGAATTGAATTCTTAGTGGTGCAACCAGCTTTGCTCTTTGGAGCAGGCTGCCTTATCTGCTCCTATCTGTCTTCCCTTGCAAAAGCCAAAAACCAGGAGCCCTTTGCCAGCTCTTGAGTACTGGGAGCAACACAAACATTCAGGCGACATGGGCCCCTCTCAGGCACCTCAATTAATCATCTTATCAGGAGAGAAGAGCTGGCGAAGATCACAGGTGGTTTTCCTGCACTGCTAACCCGGGAGCGCCTAGACGGGCTTGGGATAAATGGGCTACTTGCTGAGCCCAGAGGGTGCTGGGTGGGGAGGAGGCAGCACTGGGCACATGCCTCTCCCCCTCCCCCGCCTTTGTGCCGAGTGGCTGCTCGAGAGCTGCCTTTGGCTTTCTGAAGTGGCAGAAGGGATCCTGCCTGTGGTTTCCTGGGTTGCATCCAGCAGCTCCTTGGCAAGCCAGCTGGCTGCAGAAAGGGACACCGCTTCTCATTCAGCTCTCATGGGCAGAAGACGAGGGTGTGCTTGCAATGGGAATCTGTGTGCAGGCTAGGATCACACCCGTTGCCAGGAGCCAAGCCAACCTTGGCTGGCAAACACCCCTGGCGAAGCATTGCCAGCTGGAAACGGGCACCTTTGCCTGTGGATTGAGAGCACCGCTGAGACGAGGGTCCAGGATCAGGCCCCCAAGGGGGAGGGGTGGCTTGCGAGAGAGGAGTGCAGCTCACAAAGGCTGACCAAAGAGGGTGGGCCTTTGGCTGAGTGATGTGCACAAGGATGGCAGGCATGTGCCTGCTTTGTCTGCCCTCGGGCGTGCTCACCTGGGTCCCTGCCGCTCTCATTTCCAAATGCCGCTGTGCAAAGCACTTGCTTTGCCGATGAGAAAGCCGGAGGGTGTCGCTTGGCATTGGCGCTCCATCCTCGGCAGCAGGCTTTTCACAGGAGTGCCCAGGCAGGTGTCCAAACCAATATGTCAGACTGTCACAGGAGAGAGTGGGTGAAAAGGATCTTGCCCCACGGGGTGTTTCGAACGAAGAGAGGCGGGTGAGGGGTGCTCTCAGAACCGCATGGCCCGACAGTGCGTCCAGGGAGGCGGTGCCTTCAGCCTTGTGGCATCTTTATGGTGGGCCATTAGCCATTAGCCTTGCATCAGGCAGGCAGGCAGGCTGGCTGGCCGGCACACCTCAGGGTTTGCCAGGAATTGTGCCAGCACATTGGCAGAGGGGTGGGATGAGCATCTAGGTCAGTGGCTTCTCTGATGCCAGCCTTTTGTGAGATGGGGTGGACTCAGGTTAGCTGCCAAGCACCAGGTCTTAGAGAGGTGGGCAACTGCCCAGGGTCTGCGTGCCATGTTTTGCCCTTTCGGCAGTCTGGCACAGGAAGAAGCCGTGAGGGGAAGTTGGGGGCCTGCCCTTCGCAGCTCTCCCATGGATCGCAGGGCTGCCTTTGCAGTTCCAAAGCCCGAATGCTTTGGCTCTATTCAGAACTTGGGGAGAGCCTCCACAGAGGCCCGGCAGGATGTTCTGGCTGCCAGCAGTTCAGGCTCGGGGCTACCCGGACTTCCTTGCGGAGAGCTCTTCAAGGGCAAGGAATCCTGGCACCTGCTTTGGGAACTGAGGGCTAAGCCTCAATGCCCTTTCCTGCTCTGTCCAGAGCCTGGCCTGGGGCCCCGGCCCTGACCTGCTCTCCTCCTGCCTCTGGGGCCCCTTCCCAGCCCGGAGTGGCTCCAGAGGAGGCCCCAGCTGAATGCTGCTCTTGCCCCCTGGTGGCACCCAGCCTAACCTCTTTCTCCTCCTCCTTTTGCAGCCCACGACCTCCCCTCTAGCAAGGCCTTGGCTCCAGCACAGACGGGCAGCCACCTGCAGTGTCTCTCTGTCCACTGCACAGACGACATGGGTGATGCCAAGGGCCGGACTGCAGTGCCAACGTGGAGATCCCTGCACTCGGACATCTCCAACAGATTTGGGACTTTTGTGGCTGCCTTGACTTGAAGAAGGAAGATGAGGAGGAGGAGAAGTGGTGGTTTTCTTCTGTTCTTTTTATGTTTAACCAGCCGCTGCTACTAGCTGGACAGTTTTTCTAGGCTGGTATCTGTTTGGTGGCATACAGACTGGCAAGGATTAATTTAAAATAAACTCAACCTTTTTAAAAAAAGAAAGAAGGAAGGAAGAAAAGAAAGGAAAGAACAGCTGCCATTTCTCCTGCCAGAGGAGGAGGAGGAAGCGCACCGAAGGAAGGAGCAAGGAGCCGGCAGTGGGACCAAGCAGGGCCTTGTCACGGGGAGGCAGGATGGGTTCAGGTTTTTCGTGCTCCCCTCCCCTCTTCTCAGAAGTCTGAGAGGGTAACCTGGAGAGCAGCACCGAAGACCAAACCCCTCAGAGGGAAACTGCCACCCCAAAAACTACTCGAGGGACCCCCCCCCCCAGCTTTTGCCTTTCCTGCCCACCACAGCCAAACACCATCAGTGCTCAGCCAAGGATTCAGAGCGTCCTTTGTCTCACTGGAGAGCGAGAAGGCGGGTGGGCGGGCGAGGAGGGGGGGGGATGCAAGCTGATCCCTTGCCTCCCCTCCCCACCTCATTCCTGCAGCTGCCTGGTTTCTGCTTTCTGGCACAAAGCCTCAGATCGCCTGTTTTTCTTTTGTGTGTGTGTCTCTCTCTCTCTCTGTGTGTGTGCTTGCAAGCACACTCAGTGGCAGCTCTGCTCTCAGGGCCTGCCCGGCTCCCCTTGACAGCTGAGTGCCTTTCCTGGAGGGAGGGAGGGGGCCTCCTCCGCCCAGCCAGCAGCCCAGCCGGGTCCTCCTGCTCTGCCAACAGCCTCCCATTGTCTTCCTCCATTTCCTGCAGAGAGAGGCCCCTCTGCGGAGCCCAGTCTGAGGCAGCAGAGAGAGGCTTCCGCCTGGCTGCATCCAGCCGGCTCTCTGGTGGGTGCTGCTCTGGCTGCCAGGGAGTCAAAGCGGCAGAGCAGGGGCAATGAGCCCCGCTTGGCTGCGGGGAGGAGGTCACAAGAGGTGCCAGCCTCGCCAGAGGGGACAGAATAACTCCCCTGCGGCTGGGGGTCAGGCAACCACGCTGCCCCTGGGGTGGCATTTCCAGCCTCAGGTTGGCCTTTCCAGCAGCAGCAAGGAGGCTGCTCTGAGCCAGCCCACCTGGTACCTCAGGAGGCTCCTGCTGAGTGCTCACTTTCCACCGGATTTCCCTCTGCCAGGCTCTCCTGGCGGTCTGAGTTGTCTGCTGAGAAAGCTGGGGGGGGGGAATGGCAGAGGGGCAGGGGTCCTCTGCAGAGCAGGTCCAGTTCCCACCCACAGGAAGCTCCCCACCCCGTTGACTTTTCTTCTTTGAAATCTAAGAAACCTGAGGGGTGCATTTCTTTTTTAATGTCCTGGATTTTTTGTGGACTTTTTCTCCCCTTTTGCTGGCAGGTCAAATTTTGATCAGCCTCCTGTCCTCGCTGTCTCCACCTGTACAGTTCTGCTCCTCTACCAGCCTGGGGAGTTGCCCCATGGACATTCCAGGGTTTTCTCCCGCCCTCCCCATCTGGGGGCTGCTAGGCGACCCTCCTACGGCCAGTGATCTGCAAAGGGAAGTGGGTCAGGTGGGGGTCTTTATTATTTTCTGAAAGTAGGCTTGTGTAAGAAGAAAAATCAGCATAGAATCAATGGAATTGAAGCATTAAAATAAGAATAACAATGATAAAGAAAATCCCAAATAGACAGCAACAATGTTAAAATGAAAACAGCAAACAGCAAATTCAAACTTCATTCAGGCAAAGAGAGAAATATTTTCAGGTGATGTTTAAAATGACTGGAAAATAGCTTTAACAGTAAAACAGTAAAATAACAATAGAGTTGTCAGAAATTATCAGTAAACTGCCTACTAAAAGCATTCAGTTGAGTAACACCTTGCACTGTGCAGAAAAAGAAAGGAAAAAAACCCTGTGGATTTGCAGAACTCTTCAGGCAGAGAGTCCAAATAAAAATCATACAAAACCTGCTGAAGACACACACACTCACACTCTCTCTCACACACACACACACACACACACACACACACACACACACACACGCACAGAGAGAGAAAGAGGGGGGGGCATGCACAGAGAGCACACAAATGGGTCTTTTGTTGCTTGAGGGCAGTGCTGGGTGTCCTCCTCTGCTAATCTGGGCCACAGCCACTATCTAAGTGGGCGTGGGGCACCTGAGGCCACCGGCACCCCTTTGCAGGAAACAATTTTGCTGCTAAATCAGGCCAACCTTTTCTGACGGCTCTCTGCTCTCGGATGCTCTGCAAATGGCCCCTCCTTGTCTCTGGAAAGGCTGGGGGGGGGGGCTCCTCAGCCAAAGGTCCAGAATTGCTCTGCACAATTACAGCAGCTTCTCTGGTGGGGGAAAGCAATCTAAAATAAGCCAGATATTTTAACCAAGATTTTAGGATAAAATTAAGTTTCGGGGGACTTGCCAATTACTTTTTCTTGGTTTCATCCCTGCCACAATTCCCCAGCCATTGCAGCTTTAAAAACAAATCCTAAAAGAAAAGGATGTCTTTATTTTCATTGTACTGAAAAAGAGCCCATTCCCCCCTCCAACTAAATCCCTCCTGCTCAGTCCGAAGAAGAAGAAGAAGAAGAAGAAGAAGAAGAAGAAGAAGAAGAAGAAGAAGAAGAAGAAGAAGAAGCAAAGTTATTGCACATGTAAGATACTAACATGGAGAGCAACTTGTAATCTGCCCCTTCCCGCCTCTTCCCCTCGCCCAGCCCCTTTCCTAGGAATTTAGTTTAAATTGGTTTCTCAAAGCTCGGTTGGAAGACTGTGACAAAAGCTCATAAAAGTGAGTGTTATTTTCTTTTTTAAATATGTAAAGTGCAGTCTTCTCTATTCATGCATATTGTATATATCTGTATATGTTTTACTGAGCAACTAAATAACAATAAATATGATGTTACTGGTGATTCTTGGACCTTTTCAGTTGGGTTCTTCTTCATTTTCCCTACAAAATGTGTTTTGTAGTGTTTTGAAAGAGTCATTTTTGTATTTGCTGAGAGAATATGGGAGAACATGGGAGCCACTTAATGAGGAGGGCCAGATGAGGTCCCTGTTTCTCCCAGGGACTGAGGAGGCTTAATCAACCCAGCTCTTGGGGCATCAGCTCCATCAAGCGATTTTTGTCTTCTGCGACTTGTCTCCTGGATACCCTGAACTGTAGCATTCATCATTCTGGCTGGGAATTATGGAGCCCAGGCACACAGGCTAGGAAGCATTGTCCCAAGACCATCGGTGGCTGCTTGGGGAGTCCTGGGCACCCGTGTGAGGAAGATGCCGGCTTCTAACACTGTCTGAGGGCCCCAGTCAGGCGGGACTGCCAAGGGAGGGGTCACTCAGGGAGGTCAGCTATCTACCCCCCCCTTGGCTCCCCCTTGCTCAGTTCTTCCCTGGGCTTGTGCTGAAGCCCAGCCATCACACCCAGAAGCTGTGCTTGTCAGAAAGCGCCTCTCTCTCCAGAGAGACCACATTACGGTGAAAAGGGTTTTTTTTTTGGGGGGGGGGGAGAGGGGGTGGTGAACTGGCACAGCATCTTTGGAGGTTAAAAGACGGGAGAGCATCCCTAGGAGCCCTTTATCCTCCACAGAATGCAGAGTCCCCGTTCTCTCTCCCCCCACCCCACTTGCCAGCTTCTCTGCCTCCTGGAAAACGTTGCTCTTTGTTTAACAGTCCTACCCACAGGAGAGGAGCTTCATTCCAAGCCCCCTCCCCCACCTCCAAATAGTCCAGTATTTTAATGCATTCCTTCCAAGAGGCCTCCCTGACTCTCCCCTCTGCAGCCTTCTTGGTGGGATATCCTCCCCCTTGTGTTCTCTGCTGGGCAACCCAAAACATTAGGGGTTTGTTGCTGGCCCAGGAAGAGGAAGAGCTTTTGTGGCTGAGCAATGGGGGGGGGGCAGGGAGGGCAGGGACAAGAGATGCTCAACATTTTTGAGCAAGGCCTGTGACCAGGTGGGCATAAAGGATCATAAAGGACTGGGGGGGGGGGCCTGCTTGGAGGCAAAGGCTGGGTGTGTTGGCCTGGCGGAAAGAAGCAGAGTAGAAACTCTCCCAAGTGCTCTGCTTGGTAGGACGGCAGCCAAGGCTGGGCTGCCCCTCTGGGATCTGGCTGCCCTCCCCCACGCGCAGCCCCTGGAGAAGTCCCCAAGGGTTTTTTGGGAACCCCCTCAGAGCCCCCCCTCTTTCCTTTCGGCCTCGGGAGGGCAGGGCAGAGACTGAGAGGAAGAGAGAGCCTTGGGCTTCACCTTCGGCTGAGGCAGAGCACGCTCTCCCAATTCATTAAGCTCATCCTTTCAGCTGCAGCTCAGCTGGAGGGAGGCCAGCCCTGGCACTGGTCTGGAGAGCCAAAGGTTCCCCCCCTTGGCACAGGGTGGGAGGCCATAGGCCAGGAATAGAGACCCCTGTGAGCAACCCCTCTGTCGAACAAGGAGAGGAAAGACCCATAGTTTTCCGGTCAGAGGGGAAGCCCAGGATAGGGGTCCCTCAGAGAGAGCCTGAGGTCCCGAACTAGTGAACCGCAGCCAAGGTTTATGAGGCAGACATGCAAGAATGGCATAAAGTTATGGAAAATGTATTTATTACAACGCTTTTCATGGGCAAGTTATCATTCTGTCAAACTTTATTAGAGAAAGTAATTAATGGGCTGTAAAAGGTGCCAGTGCGTAGCCAGGGAAAGAGGGAGGCCCCCTGCAAATTGCCCCCTGTGAGATTTATGGCCCCCTGCCCCTTGTGGAGCAACAGGTGTGCTCACTGCCAGAGGGGGGCCTGGAGAGCCTCAGACTGTCCTCGTGCAAGGGGGGGGGAGTGCAGGTGGGGCTCGGCTCAGTCAGCATAGCTGAGGTCTTGATCTTGCCGCCAGCCAGCCCTCCTCTTCCTCAGAGCTTTGAGAAAGGGAGAGCACAGGGCAAACAGGAGGTAGAGAAGGTACGGAAGGGGGCTGACTTCTGTAAGGGATGGGGAGGGGGGGCCATAGATTTTTTTTCCGCCCACCAGGTTTGGCCTGGTAGGATGGCAGTTGGTAGAAATGGGAAGGGAAACCTGCCACTGAGCACCAATTTGCCTTCAGACTTGGCTGAGCCCAAACCATTTGCCACATTTTGCTACTGTAGATCTGGCATTCCTGTCCAGCTTTGGCACAGATTCTTTGTGGATAAAAAGCCAAACCACCAGCATTTTCTAGAAGACCTCCATGGGCCCTTCCAGTTCTCTTCTCTTCTCTTCTCTTCTCTTCTCTTCTCTTCTCTTCTCTTCTCTTCTCTTCTCTTCTCTTCTCTTCTCTTCTCTTCTCTTCTCTTCTCTTCTACCGGGGCTGCTTTTCCTGAAGGGGGGATTGATGGTGACACCATCACCATCAATCCCCCCACTGTTGAAAATTTCTCTCCTGGTGCCTTATTCCAGAGGATGACCGCCCCCTCCAAAAGGGAGAGTGTCAAGGATTCACCTGCCCCCCCTTAGGGGCTGCACCCCTGCCTGGCACCCCTGTGCACATGGATGCCCTCTCTCTCTCTCTCTCTCTCACCCAGCCCAATGCCCAAGGCTTGCCAGCTCAAAATACTTCCCCTTCCCTGGATATAAATATCCTGCAGCTGACGACCATGTGAGAAGCAGCCCCTCTGCAGGCAGAGGTTGGCAGCTGTCCTCTGAGCAGCTCGTGTGGCTTGGAAAGATGCCAGAGCTCTTGCCTGAAAGAGCAGCGATGCCAAGGCCTCACCCAGGGGCAGGGTGACCGGCTGCCCTCCCGGATCCTTGCAGACAGTTAGGACCCATCAGCAGCCTGGCATCTGGCGGCAGATCCAGCCAGGCCACCTTCTCCCCCATCCAGAGAAGAGGGTGGTTTTGTGCTTGTTGGCTACGGCAGTTTGGAGCCTCACAACCCGTAGCCTTAATTCTGCCAAAGCTTCTGGCCTGAGCACCCCCAGCCCTTCTGAGGCAAGGCTGCCAATCAAGCAGGGTGAGCAGCTCTGGGGGGGAGAGTGCAGAAAGCAGGCAAAGCAAGGCCCCTCCTGCCTGGTGGGCATCTCAGGGAAACACAGGCCGGATTGGGCCCGGGGGTGCTCCGCCTATGGTGCTTCAGAGGAGGGTGCGATCTGCTTGGGGTCACAGGAGGCCAAGGCAATGCTTTGCCCCCTGGTCTTAGAGGGTAAAGAGCAAAGTGCCTTCTGAACAAGCTCAGAGGCAGCCTCTTCCCATATTCCCTTCTTAGGCATGGATCTCCAGCCTGGCCCCGCATCTGGGACCGCTTCTCCCCTGATTGCCTGCTGGCTGCCCAGCTCATTTTGGTCCACTTTCTTCCCCAGGAAATTGGTTCCCTTGGGCCTGGCACCGCTGATGGCTTCCTCCACGCGGCTTAGGGCCAAGGGCCCTCACAGAGATGCTCTGGGTCTGGGGGCCCCTGCTCAGCAGCTGGGGAGAGTCGGTGGACTTCTAGCCCTCCCCCCACCCCAGGAGTGGCTGAAACATAATCTGCTCCTTCAAGCCCTACCAAGGCAGAGTAGAAATTCTAATTTTTGCTATGCTCCCCTCCATTAATTTTCCAGTTGTAGTACATTACTCATGGATAATTAAGAGTGAGCTATTAATACAACGTTTAATATTCAAGTGCAGCCAAGAGGAGAGGCCGATAAGTCACAAGATTTCATCCTACAAGGCATTTGAGCCCTGTGATGAGATCCCCCCCCCCCGGGCTTCAGCCATTGGAGCATACCGAGCGTCTCTTCCATTTATGGGGGACCCTGGGAACTTCATGTATTGATAGAATACAAATAGGTCATTAAATCAGGGGAAGGGAATGTGAATTGCCAGCCACAGAGGTGGCCAGCACCATTCGTAATTGGAGTTATCTGGGGCAGGAGAATGATGGGTGATTCTGCTAGGGTGAGGGTCTCAAAATTAATGAACAGGGAGCGTTTCAGAATGAAATGGAAGCTGGGAAGCAGGAACAACACCAGGAGTTGTTGTTGTTAATTGCGAAGTCGTGTCCGACCCATCGCGACCCCATGGACAATGTTCCTCCAGGTCTTCCTGTCCTCTACCATCTTCTGGAGTCCATTTAAGTTCACACCTACTGCTTCAGTGACTCCATCCAGCCATCTCATTCTCTGTCGTCCCCTTCTTCTATTGCCCTCAATCTTTCCCAGCATTAGGCCCTTCTCCAGTGAGTCCTTCCTTCTCATTAGGTGGCCAAAGTATTTGAGTTTCAACTTCAGGATCTGGCCTTCTAAAGAGCAGTCGGGGTTGATCTCTTCTAGGACTGACCGGTTTGAACGCCTTGCAGTCCAAGGGACTCGCAGGAGTCTTCTCCAGCACCATAGTTCAAAGGCCTCAATTCTTTGGCGCTCAGCCTTTCTTATGGTCCAACTTTCACAGCCATACATTGCAACTGGGAAATCCATGGCCTGGACTATACGCACTTTTGTTGGAAGGGTGATGTCTCTGCTTTTTAGTATGCTGTCTAGATTTGCCATAGCTTTCCTCCCCAGGAGCAAGCGTCTTTTAATTTCTTGGCTGCAGTCCCCATCTGAGGTGATCTTGGAGCCCAGAAAAATAAAATCTGTCACTACCTCCATTTCTTCCCCATCTATTTGCCAGGAATTGAGAGGGCCGGATGCCATGATTTTGGTTTTCTTAATGTTGAGTTTCAAGCCAACTTTTGCACTCTCCTTCTTCACCCGCATCAAGAGGCTCTTTAGTTCCTCTTCACTTTCTGCCATTAGAGTGGTATCATCTGCATATCTTAGGTTGTTGATATTTCTCCCGGCAATCTTAATTCCAACTTTTGTTTCATCTAGCCCTGCCTTTCTCATGATGTGCTCTGCATATAAGTTAAATAGGCAGGGCGACAGTATACAGCCTTGCCGGACTCCTTTTCCAATTTTGAACCCAATCAGTGGTTCCGTGTCCAGTTCTCACT